GAAGTGGAAGTGGACGCGGAAGCGGTTATGGAAGTGGAACCGGTCAAGCTCAGGGAAGCAGTTATGGAAGTGGAAGCAGTCAAGGAAGTGAGGGAAGCGGGGGAAGCGGTCAAGCTCAGGGAAGCAGTTATGGAAGTGGAAGCGGAAGCGGTTATGGACAGGGAAGCAGTTATGGAAGTGGAAGCGGAAGCAGTTATGGAAGCGGAAGCAGTTATGGAAGTGGAAGCGGAAGCAGTTATGGAAGCGGTCAAGCTCAGGGAAGTAGTTATGGAAGTGGAAGTAGTTATGGAAGTGATCAGGGAAGCGGTCAAGCTCAGGGAAGTGATCAGGGAAGCGGTCAAGCTCAGGGAAGTGATCAGGGAAGCGGTCAAGCTCAGGGAAGTGATCAGGGAAGCGGTCAAGCTCAGGGAAGTGATGAGGGAAGCGGTCAAGTTCAGGGAAGTAGTTATGGAAGTGGTCATGGAAGCAGTCAAGCTCAGGTAAGTGATCAGGGAAGCGGTCAAGCTCAGGGAAGCAGTTGTGGAAGTGCAAGTAGTTATGAAAGTGGTCAAGCTCAGGGAAGTGATCAGGGAAGCGGTCAGGCTGAGGGAATTAGTTATGGAAGTGGAAGTGGTCAAGCTCAGGGAAGCAATCAGGGAAGTAGTCATGGAAGTGGAAGCGGTCAAGCTAAGGGAAGCGATCACGGAAGTAGTTATGGAAGGGGAAGCGGTCAGGGAAGTAGTTATGGAAGTGGAGGTGGTCATGGAAGCGGTCAAGCTCAGGGAAGTGATCAGGGAAGCGGTCAAGTTCAGGGAAGTAGTTATGGAAGTGGTCATGGAAGCAGTCAAGCTCAGGTAAGTGATCAGGGAAGCGGTCAAGCTCAGGGAAGCAGTTATGGAAGTGGAAGCGGAAGCAGTTATGGAAGTGGAAGCGGAAGCAGTTATGGAAGTGGAAGCGGAAGCAGTTATGGAAGTGGAAGCGGAAGAAGAAGCGGAAGCAGTTATGGAAGTGGAAGCGGAAGCAGTTATGGAAGCGGAAGCAGTTATGGAAGCGGAAGCAGTTATGGAAGTGGAAGCGGAAGCAGTTATGGAAGCGGAAGCAGTTATGGAAGTGGAAGCGGAAGCAGTTATGGAAGCGGAAGCAGTTATGGAAGTGGAAGCGGAAGCAGTTATGGAAGCGGAAGCAGTTATGGAAGTGGAAGCGGAAGCAGTTATGGAAGTGGAAGCGGAAGCAGTTATGGAAGTGGAAGCGGAAGCAGTTATGGAAGTGGAAGCGGAAGCAGT